CACTAAAAACAGCTAAAAACAACTATGTAAAACATTTTTAAAAAATTAAAATCAGCATTAAACTAAAAACAGATTCAAAACACATATCTACATTCTACATGTCCGAGTAGGCTTGTCCAAACAAAAACATTTACAGCAGGACCCAAAAAGAGTCCAGTGAAGGTGCCTGCCTGGTGTACAGGAAGTTCCAAAGTATAGGTGCTGCCATACTGAATGATCGATTTCTAACAGCTGTCTAATACCAACAATAAAATATCATTCCCCTTCCCTCGTACTGGCACGAAAGCCATCTGCTGCTGCCCTACCACAGAAGGCACAGCTGACTTGCTCCACCAGGGGTGAGGAATGTGCACATCCTTCCAGATGTTGCTGGACTCCATTCACTAATGGAAGCTGGAGTGACACTACATCTGGAGGACCCCAAGTTCCCCACCCCTGCCCTAAACTGTAGCAAAGGAGCACAATCACCATTGCACCAAGTGCATGAGCTCAATTAGGGCTGCGAAAGGCGGTGCTGAAAAGCCATGTTTTTGGGGTCTTCCTATAAAAAGCTCAACAACTTTTGGGGTGTCCTGGTTTTTATTTTTTGAAATATAGCAACCCTATATGCCTAGTCTTTTGCTCTGATGCTCTAGCACAGAAGTGCTGTTTAGACAGGACAGAGCTTCCTGGTTCTTCACTGTTGCATGGCTTTCTGCCTTTATTTGAGAAGGCCTTGCTATGCACTGTGCAACACATTTCAAAAACAAACAAGTCCCTACCAGCAATCTGAAATCGACCAACAGGATAGGAAGGTGTAAGAAAGTGAAAAAAGGGGAGTTGGAAGATATGAGAGGAAACACAGAACTATTAGATTCTAGGTTAAGATTTCTGTCATGGAAGCAAGCGAGTCTCAAAGCAGGACATATGGTTCCGATTAAAATGCTAGTAGTATATTTTAAAACACTATCTAATCCTGTCTGAGGATTTTAGCAGTGACTAGTGGCTGTGCATGGATCGGATAGCGAACAAGGGATATGCACTGCTCCACAGTTTAGTCTTTGTGAGGCACTCCTGAAAAAGGTCGGACATATCCAATCCATTTGTAACCGGTGGGGAGGGGGATACACTAGACTCCATGCCTAGTGGAAGACTTTCATCTTAAGTCTGGATGATATACACTTCAGCACACAAGGAGGGAGGGCACTCAGCCTCTCAAGGAGGGAGTCACATGGAGCTGAAACTGACTATTCAGGCAAGGTCTAAAGAATTAACCTCAGCAGTGAGTTCAACCATACACTCTCAAGGCAAAGTATGAAAGCATGCAGCTGCAGGATTATATTGAGAAGAGACTTCTCCACCCATGCACAGACGAGTTTTTAAAAATGATGCGGGCATGGCGGGGGGGGGGGAGATGTGCCTCTCAACATCAGTATTACAGGCACTCATTAAATGCATCCAACCTCATCCCAGACAGCACTCCAGATCATACCTTCCCCACAAATATAGTGTATGTCTTCAGAATTATATGTACAGGTATCTCCCCATTCACGTGTGTGTGTGTGTGTGTGTGTGTGACATTTCTGGGTACCGCGCATATACTGTTAGATGGGGAAAGCCTGCGCCCTTTCGTCTGCCAAACTCCACCACAAATGATCCTGCCAAACCTCCTTTCTCAAACTCCCAACTCTCCACAGGCCTCAGAGGTCGGTGCAAAGGCTCATGGGATTGCAGTTGCAAATCCTCCTGGGGTTGCTAGCTGTTTCTCCACTCTTTGGCAACATTTTTGCAGTTTCCCCACTCTTTTCGGGCCTTTTTTTTTTTTTGCCCTTTTCACACATTTTTGCAGTTGAAATAGATTTATTTAATTATTTCCCAACGCCGCACATGTATGTCGTCGCACGTGAGTTGGACGTGTATAAGCGGAGAAGCGCCTGTACACAGAATTATACCTTCTTTAATTACGGTTGGGGTTGGGGATTTAAGCTGAGATTTTAATATCTTTGCAAGATTTATTGACCCCTTAATGTGCCTGTCTGTTGCAGTTTGAATGGATTCAATTCTGTTGCTTTGCTTAAGGGGCAGAAGTAGTAGCAACTGACTGGGCAGGGCAGGACGGGTGGCTTCCCAATGCTGGGGTTGCTGCTCGTTACCAAGATGGAGGCCATGGGAAGGTTGGTGCAGCGCTGGTGCAGTGGTGGAGCTGATCTAATGCTTCTGCCACTGCTCCAACACCGCACCAACCTCCTCTCATAACCGACAGTGACATAAGCATTGGGAAGCCAGGGAAGCAGTGAAGTCCCACCCCACCCTACCCTTGACTGCTACCAGACAGAAGTCATGGTTTATCATTAAATGAAATCTGAACCAACAGAAGCTCATTGTCCCTTTCTGACATTTTCTCCCACTTCAAGTAGAAGACTTTCATTCTGCAAGGGGGACACAAAGACCTCATCATCCACTCCACAGGCCTCTGCTGAGCCAATATATGTAAATTACCCATCCAAACCAATTTTAAAATTACCATTTAAAATTATTAAATGTAGCATGTTTACTAGCTAACTCAATTGTAAACCAGATTTGTTTGCTTTATAATCCTATGAGATCCAATTAATCATCTGATCGTCTTCTTCCAGAAGAAACTTCTCCATATCAATTAAGGTAACTAGATCCATTCTCATATCAGTATGAACGTTAGACTCTCCTATTAACACAGAATTTGTGTCGCGATATTCACGTTGGGATATTCGCAGGCTTCGTAAATAATCTTCCAACGATCCCAGTGTAAGGGATTATGTGTAAGGGAATGCTAGGGTTTGGATAGCACCCCAAACTGTAAAATTGCCATTAGCTGGGGAAATGCATCTAATTTGATAGCTACAAAATGCTGCTGCTTGAGCCGTGATAACCCTGAAGCAGAAATACTTCCTTTGCTGTGTTAGCGCTGTGGAGCCTACAACCAAATGAGAAGCATCTTGAATATAAACTGCTTGTCTGAAAAGGTCCAGGTTCTAATCCAATGAAATAACTGCCATCGTGTATTCATTCCTGCTGCATCGCCTGCATATTCCTATACAGCTTTTTTTGGGGGGGGGTGTCATTCCATTGGGCAAAGACCCTCAGTTCATGCTCTCTCCTTGTGACTCCCAGTCTTGCAGTTATAAGCCCTGTTCTAGAATGAGCACACAGCTTTGCCACAAAAAGGGCACTTCATAAATGAAATATTCATTTCAATAGGAATCAGACCAACCACAGAAGAAGTGATAGTAAAATAGGTTATGCTTCTGTTTTCGAATGTACTGTAGGTTCAAACAATTTCAGTTCAACTTTTTCCACATCAGCCTCAAGCCACAGTGCTTTCAAACTGTGTGCAAGTCCCAAGTATTTCACAGATGAGGTGCCTTACAAGTGCCTTGGGATGCCTTACTTAACAGTAGCTAACTAAAAGGAAAATCAAATAAAGAAATACTAAGCTTGCTCATTGTAAGCTTTAATGATGGTTTTCCCTGAAAGCCATACATTTCAGAAAGCTTTTGTTATACCCACATTTTACACACATAAGCCTCTGGGTTTTATTCCTTCTCAAGTCATACTCCCTGACCATCTCTATGGGTGCTACCAGCCTGGTGTTTATCAGCCACATTCACAGCATGTATTTAAAGCAATATGTATTTAAAGCGCGACAGCACTTTTCCCCCTGGCAACGTTGGGCCCACCCTCACTTAAATACAGTGCACCCACCTCACAGAACACCATGAATTCCTACAAACTACCCAAGATGATCTTGCGGGGGACTTGTGTGAGGGAAAACTTAATAATTTGGAGTCTCAGGCAGGATTTGATCAAATGAACAATAACGATTTTTATTAAATAATGGAAGTTTATGACACAAGTGGGTAAAACATAGGATACTCCAGATTATAATGCTATTTCACTTCAGTTCTTTCTCAGCTGTTGCACAGCTGTTGCCGTTTAATACTTTGGTTCTTAAACAAGGTGGTACTTCCTGTCAGTTACACATCCCTTAGACAACCCTACTCCTGAGGTACTCCAAGTAACAGACCCAAGGGATCTCCACACCCCTCTTAACTGGTTTGGGAGTCTTCTCTTTTTGTAGAAGAATCTCTCCCCTCCTGACTGGAATGAGACCTAAGTAGACTATATCTTTCCAGATTCTACTTCTTCTGGCTAAGCCTCAGTCTCCCAGTTAATTCTTGCCTTATTGCTCTTACAGAACACCACACATTGTCCTTCACACAAAGCTCAGAGACTCCTTTCTCTAGCTTGTGATATATTCCTCAGAGTGGATGTCTCTACCCAGAACCAACTCTCTCTCCTCTCACTCCCTATCTCCCAACCTGACTCCTAACCTATCTCCCTACCTCAATCCCAACCACTATTCCAACCTAAAAAACTGTCTCCAAATCCTCTCCTTTTCAACCCCCTCTCCTGGAACCCTGGCCAATCAGAGGCTGCCATTCATTAACCGTTTGCTGGCAGAGAAAAAGAAAACACTTGGGGACCCAACCTGTCCAGCAAAACAAACTTTTCCGTCACATCATGGCTTCCCTCAAAGAATTCTGGGAGCTGTCGTTTGTTTAGCGTTCTGAGAGGAGACACCTATTCCCTTCCCAGAGCTACAATTCTCAGTTCCTCGTGGAAAGGGCTTGGTTGTTAAACCACTCTGGGAATCATAGCTCTGTGAGGCGAATAGGGGTATGCTAACAACTCCCACCACCCTTAAAAAACTATAGTTCCCAGGATTCCTTGGGGCATGACTGTGCTTTAAATGTAACGTGCATACTCAGCCTATAAGTCTGCCCTAATTTGGAAAAAAAAACCTTCCCACTTCCTTCACCTGCACTTTCGTACTTCAAACACTGAATGTCCTTTTTGGCATCAGGTGTACTGCAGAAATGAGAAAGAACTGGATGTGCCTTAAAAATATATTTTAAAACCCCTCATCATTCTCTGCCTAGGTGAGCAGGATTCTGCAACAGGCAGTACATTGGCTGTGCATGGAATCACTTTCCCTTCTTTCTTACCACATTTCCAGATGTTAAGTTACATTGTGCAATAAACACATGGATTTTGTTCATTTGTTGTGCATGAGCCAAACCTTCTTTCTCAAAATGGGTGCTTCTGCTTCAGCGACTCAACATTTCCCCCTAAATATTTTGACGGAAAATATGATGGTTCCTCTGGCCTCGCTCTTTAACTTTTTAAGCTGTCTCAGTGGCTTCATGTTCCCATCCTTAAGACCTTGATCCTAGATACACTTACTTGGGAGTAAGCCCCGGGAACCTCCATGATGGGACTTACTTTTGAGTAGGTAAGTCTGCGAATTCTGCTGCTAGTCATAGAAGCTGAACAGCACTCACACAATGTGCCATACAAAAGAGCACAACTGAAAGACAAGATCGCGCTCTTGAAGGGCACTGCTGTTGGGATGGTTGCATTGTTTGAACGGCTACAGGCATCTTTAGTCCCAGAGACTGAAAGAGATAAATTAGACAAGGTCACACCTTTTATTGTGGCAATTTCTGCCTACAAGAGACGGGAAGCTTTCGAACAAACAAAGAAATTGCAGCGTAGGAAATAACCCTGAAAGGGATGATGAAGGAGGACTGTCCTCAGTTAACAACCATTCTTCAGATCAAACAAGTGATAACATCTTTGGAATTTCTCAAGGGCTTCATTAATGAGATGCCATCAAGGTGGGACACACTGTTTTTCAGGCAGCCTATGGGCTTGTCCACACCAGAGCTTGCTTCTGCATGCAAAGTCATGTGCTTTGAGCTCCTCTGAACCAGGGCAGCCTGGTTGTCACGAGGAGCGGAAGACTTCACGTATGAAAAGAAAGGCTTGCTACAGTTATGTAACAGTGTCATTGTTTATCTGCCTGTAGGAATAGATAAATCCTCATTTTTCCAATTATGTTTCCAGCCCCATTTCTGCATCCATTTGCAAAATTTGCACACTTCTCCTAATACGTACATTATTGTATGCAATTGTTTAGTGTTTTTTTCTTTAAAAAAATGCTTAGGGGTACTCTCATTTTGACTTGAGAAGATCACCATTTTATAGTTCAAATCAGGAAAAATAAATACAGTAAATGGACAAAAGGCCGCCATCGGAGGTAGCAACGGAACTGATGACTCCCCGTGCTAGAGAAGAAACTTTTTTAAAAAATAGTTTCTTCTCCCATCAGATTCACAAAATGTTTAGGGGTATACATACCCCTGCGTCCCCCCAGAAAAAAGCACTGCAATTGTTGCTGAATACAGGCATTTTTGCAACTAAATAAAAGCATCTTTCTGTATTCTTGTCACTAATGTATGCATTTTTGCATGCACTTTTCACTAATAAACTCATCCTCATATGCATTCCTTGGCTGGAGAACAGCATTGCAAAGGTCAGAGAAGTGCAAATTCCAAAAAAGAGGGCTCTCTTTTGGTTTGCGTATTGGTTTGAGAATTGTGATTTTGACAGGTAAAGCAAACAAATTTCTTTCCCATTCCTATCTGCCTGTGTGTGTGCATACTGTCAACTTTTTTTAAAAAGCATGATTTATTAGTCAAAGACGTCTGAAGCACACAAATATGGCTTAGCATGAAAACCACCAGGTTCGTCTAATTTGGGGTGCTCAGCGAGTTTCTCTGGTGCTTATCATGAAAGCATCGTTAAGGCTGACTGAAATAACTCCACCCAAGCCTTGCCTGGATGAGTAGTGCTACTTGTTTCCTTCAGGTGACATTTTGGTAGTTTGCGCCTTCAAAGAGGTGCATGCTTCCGCAGCCTCTGTCAGGAAACTGCGTTGAGCATAAAAGCATAAGCTCTAGGCAGGGACCGTTTAGCCCTCACACGCCTCACAACCAAAAGACTCCGATATTCTCATCTCATTTCACAAATATCTGACTGTTTGTTCTCTCTCTCTCTCTCTCTCTCTCTCTCTCTCTCAATCTCTCTCTCTCTCTCTCTCTCCAGGCATGTGCATGTGTTGAGAGATACTATCAAGAGGAAAGTGTGGTCAAATTATTTATAGCTATTGTGGTTTCCAAGATAGTATATGGTAACTGAATTATGTGAAACCAAGAAATGTTCTCCACTGAAGAATGCTTGTCAGATTCTGTTCTTCCCCCCATGCTTCTCTTGAAAAATATATAGACGAGGAACTAACTGACATGAATAAAAAGGAAAAACGTCTCCTCCTCCTTGGTTAGGTAAAATTATGATTTTAGGTTAATTGCCAGGGCAGAGTCTCAAACAAATATGTGTTCTCCCAGGCCCATATTTCCAGAATGTCTCAGTGATGTCTATGCTGGCTTGGTCATGTCCACAGAATGGAAGATCGTGGGGTTGCCAGGGATGTGCTCTAAGGAGAGCTGGCTTCAGGCACCAGGTCCCTTGGCAGACTAACTCTGTATTACAAAGGTATCTGCAAACATGACATGAAGTCTGGCAACATCAACTCTGCTGTGTGGGAATCCCTTGCGGACGACGGCAGTGCCTGGAGATAGACAGTGACCAGAGGAGGAATGACTGCTGGGAGGAGCACAGAGAGAAGAAATGCCATGGTACACCTGTAGCAGCACAACAGGATGCCTTCATCTGCCCCAGCTGCAACAAAACATGTCTCTCCCATATCAGTCACTACAGCTACTGTAACTCTCCAGGGCTTTGAATTTACCCCTGAAGGCACACTCTCCTGTTGTCTGCCGAGGCTGACGGATGCCAACTGCGCTTCTGCAGTAAAACAGGCACATTTCTTTAAAAATTACTTAACTTTAAAAGGTAATATTAACAAGCGGAACTTGCACAGACTGTTATAGTGTAGAGTGCTTCTGTTCAGGGTTCTAGCTGGTAAACCATACCCTGTTCCAGGAAATCCAGTCCATTCCTCTTTCTTTCTTGTTTTCCCATGTTATTCTCCTCCATCTGTCAGCCAGCATTCCATGGCCACTGAGCATGCTCACTCTCATTTCCAAAACATCACCTTGTTAGCTTGCACATGTTCTGGCTATTGCTTTACATAGTGGTCACCATCTTTTAAAATTTCTTAGTTTGAATACAGCTTAAACTTAAGGTTTGCTAAGCAAGACACAACATTATGTTGGCATTGCAGCAATAGTATTCCAGCGTCAAAGGAAGAGGCTCCGGTGTAAATGCTTTAAGAACAGAGGGTCACACAAAGACTGAGGAACATCTAACAGACCAAGCAATGCATTTAAACAGAAGTTACTTACAGGTGGTTTAAACCAATGAAGGTCTCCCTGGTGAGTTCATGCCTGAAGATATGAAATTTCAATGGTTTGTCTTGGTTTGGAGTGATTTGAATACCGTGCACTCAGTTTGCCTCTGACAAGATTACATTTTACTACACGTTATATAAAATATTTATAGCAAATGAGAAATGTAGACACCTTTTCTGTATATTAAAACCAGCATACCATGAGGGAAGCTGATTCAGTGCTATTTTCCTAGAAGAAGAGGTGCCAGAACTCAGTTCTGGAGAGTTCCAACTTAAAAAAAAGCCCTGGGTGTAGTGTTATGGTTAAGAGAATGAGGCTGCCATCCAAAGCCCCTTTCTGCGATGTAGGGGATGTTTCCTTTGGGCAGAGGTATCCCTCTGCCCAGTTCTATTGGCCTCTGCCAGTGGTACCAGAAACATTCTGCTACCATGGAACTCCCTATTCTCCCTGCCAAAAACACAGGTGGACAACAACCCACAGAAAGCCCTGAAATGGAGCATTCTGCAGGCAGAGGGGGTGAAATGGCTTGGGACCTGCTGGATCCTGAGCCAGTACAGTGATTTTCCTGGCGCCTCCTTCCACTCCAGCCAGTGAAAGGACTGCAGTCCTGCTGGGAGTATATCTCAAATTCAAGCATGAACTCATCAGGGGAACCTTAGGCAAGCTACCATCTCTACCACCTGCAATCTGTAATATGGAACTAATGGCCCCGGCTTACCTAACAATGTTTTCTTGAAAGCATCATTGAAATAATATTATATAAATCACTTAAGAGCACTCAGAAAAAGTGCTCTAGAAATATAACAAGTATCATCACTAGGCACAATGCAGCAAAGTAGTAAGCATTATTTGACGCCAAATTTATTTCGTTTGGAGAGCTAACCATTTCTTAAACTGCCCGCTATTGAAAGCAAGGAAATTTCAAAAGGCTTTATATTGGCTGGCATATGTCTTACCGAATGAAGAGATTTTTGGCTCTGAAGCTTTACTCTTTGCATAATGTTCATGGTGGGGGAGATAGGGGGAATCTTGAGCAAGGACAGGCCTGAGTTTTCTGCTAGACAAAGAAGTTTTATAGTTGTTGAGGGACCCTAGATTTGCTTACATTACCACAAATCAAAACCGTATTTGGGGATTCATCTAAGGCAGGGATCGGCAAGGCCTACCGGGCAGGGCTGGATCACTCCCGTGGAGATCCTTGCAGAAGCGATTTTCAGCATCTGGGCATGCGCAGAAGCTATTTCCGGCGCCGCAGAAGAGAATCTCCGCACCACGCTGTCCCAATTTAGGGGACTCGCCGAGCAGGCGGCTTGGTTCAGGGGCAGCTCATGGGCCGGTTAAGCGACCCTCATGGGCCACTTTCGGCCCATGGGCCTTAGGTTGCTGACCTCTGATCTAAGGATTCCCAGTGGGCTCTTGTCCCACACATTATCACAAATTGATTCTGTCAATAATGACATCACCCTCTGTTAGACAAAACAAGAATACGGAACCCCAGGCCCCAGAGGTCAAATGTGGCCCTTCAGTTCTCTGTATGTGGCCCCCAGGAGTCAAGCTAAATCATACCCCTCATTGACCCTGCTCCATATTCTCCTGAAGTGCTTTTGCCTGGGTGGAATGTGTCTTTGAACTTCCATAATGCCTCTTGCTTGCCTGGAAGGAAGTGTGTGTGTGTGTGTGTGTGTGTGTGTGTGTGTGTGTACAGAACCCTCTGAATTTTGTGTGGCTGAAACGTTGTACGTGAGGGTCACACATCCATTGCTCCACCTACTTTTCCTTCTGGTGCTTTTCAATACTCCATTAGCCATGTGGAATACTTTCTACCATTCCTTCTTGAAAGGGAAAAGGCAGCTGAGAGCTTGCCCATAAGAGGGAAAATTATGCATATAATTTAACTAAAACTTCTGTAATACTCAGCTAATGTGAAAGGAGATATATTTTTCTAGTAAGTCGTGTCCTCTGTGGTGGTGGTGGGAATTCTTTTGCCATTGGCAGGAACCCCAGAAATTCCTGGCAAATCGCAGAGTTTAGGGGGTTATGAGCATAAAAGCATTTTTCACACATCCAAGAATTCTCCCCTCCCCACCCTGCGCCCAGCACATCCTCAGTGGCCACTCCAAATTGCAAATGAAAAGGAAACAGACATTCTGCCATTTGAATGTACTGGCACAATTCAGTTGGCTTTCAAGTTTGCTTTTTCAGGAGCTTAAAGGAAATAATACTAATAAAGACCAAATCTGCTCTCCCCAATGAATATGACCCTTTTAAAGAAAGGTATTTGGGGAGGGGATAGAACTGTCTTGGCTGGCTTACATGTTATCCTCTTATGAGGATAAGCTCTCCTTTCACTTATTTTTATTTTGTCCCTCACCAGCTGTGAGTAGCAGTACAGGCAGCAGCAGTTGGAGAACAAGTCCCTGTCCCTTCCTTGGCCCTGCACTCTAGGTAAGAAGGGAGCTGCTGCTCCTTACACACACTCAGTCCCAGCTAGGTCAATTTGCCCATTTTGGTTTCTCCCAGTTTCTCACCTTCCTAATTTTAAGATTGGTTCCCCATGTGTCCACTCTGCGGATTTTTAGAGGGTGGCATCTCCCTGAAAATTTATCAGCATTTTCGTGTGAAGTTCGTCATCTTAAGAAAGTTTGTCCCAACAGATGATCTTTTATAACCATAAAAGTTGCCTATAAATGAACTGGCTTCCAGCTGTTTTATGAACTGTTTGGGTTGTTTCCTTTTAAGTGAGTTTCGTTGGATATCTCGTGTCGTACGTTTTGTTTGTCTGCCATCTGGAATGCTTGACAGACTCACAACATTTCTTAAGGAAAGACAAAGGAATCACTGTGAACTAACTCTCAGCACTGAGTGCATCACATGTCTAGGGGCTTGATTCAGTGGTGGGGAGTCTGCATTCCAGGCGTGCCTCCCCATCTGGCCCACCAAGCCATTTCAACCACGCCTACCTGGCCTCCACCTGATTTCTTACATGCTGTGCCTTTGACGTATGCTGTGCTATGATCTGCAAGTGCTGACAGTCAGCTGATTGTTGGCTGTTTTGACTGCTGGGTCTTGGCGCTTGCAAATTGAGATGCCCGCACGATAGAGTGAGAACATCCACTGTACCTAGTATACATGGAGAATAGGTGATCAGCCATATTTTACCATTCTCCCACTTTACTACAATAATGCAGAGTGTTCTTTTTAATGCTGAAAAGCATACAAAGGCCACAGTGTCTTCCTATCCGACACAGCAGAGGTATTTAAAGAGCTTAATATCAAATCCAGGGGATTCCACAGGGGGAGAAACTGAGTAGATAAACCTGGGGGAGGGGAGACTGCTTTAACTTCGGCTGCATTCAGATGTGAGGTTTATTGCAGGCATGTCCAACAGATAGATCGTGATCTACCGGTAGATCACTGGACGTCTGCAGTAGATCACTGGTAGATCATTGGCTCCCCCCAAAGAAGCTGAACTGTGGGTCCCCTAAAAAATAACTCAGCAAAAAAGCTCCCTGAAAAACTCAACAACTTTGACCCGAACCCCCCCAAAATGGGCCTTCCTCCTTCGTAAAAAAAGTTTAACCTGAACCCCAAAAAAGGGGGATAGATCACTGCTAGTCTTTAACTCTGTGAGTAGATCACAGTCTCTTGGGAGTTGGCCACCCCTGGTTTATTGCATTAATTTCACTGGTTCCTTTTGCATTGCAGTACCTATTGCATTGTGGAACTGTAGCTTTTCACTCATGTTAGTGGTTTGGTGTGATGCAACAACAAACTCCCTCGCCTTTTCTGGACATGCACAGTTCTGTTCCTTCATGGTTCACTAGGAGGTATGCCAAACTATAGCCCCAAAATTTGTTACATAAGCAAACGTGCCCCCAATATTCTGGATTTCCAGGGTTGCAAACAATTTTTTTCTCCAAACAACTAACATGGAATTGCCACTAGTTTCCACTAGATTTCCAGAAGTGGATTTTACATCATAAGAAAGATCACATAAAATGTGAAAATTAACAGGTACAGAAATGCCAGGAAGAAGGAATAAAGCACCGCCTGAACACAGCCTTTGTAGTATAACTGTAAAACAAAGAGAGAGAAGCTCTGTTTGCTGCTGAGTTGTCACTCAGACCTGCTAGCATTTGTTAACATCCCAGGTCTGCCTGCCTAAGCCCCCACTTCATTATCTCTGTCCTCCTTGTGCATGACAAATTGCAGAGCCACTCCTTAATCTCTGCAGAAGGAAAGCAGTAATAATAATGTAGAAAGTTCAGCCTCTATTGTCTGCTCCCACATGAGTCAATATGACACGTTTCGCATTCATCTGTTGATTTACTGTTCACCATCAGCACAGGCCAGCAGTAAACTTTTAACAGGTTTCTGTAAAAGCCGTGGTGGCAACATTTGGGTGCAATTAAGCAGGCAAGATTTTCCCTGGCGTGATCTTTTGAGGGGATGCACACTTTTACAAAGGGCCGAGGGGGTCACAGATGCTTTTGTGAATTCCTTTAGGGGTGCCCAGTCAGGTTAAAGAGGTGGGAGTGGTGTGAGAGAAGGGAGCTTTGGAGGTCTTTTTTGTTTATCTGGAAAAGGCTCTTCTCTCTCTCTCCCCCCCCCCCCCCGCCCTGTGCTCTCTTTGCTGAGATAAGACTTTTTAAGACACTGCACAGAGCGATGGATGGGTTTCCCCTTACATTTCCACAAAGCACTGGTTTTTGGGAGGGCTGCTTTATTTAGCCCAACTTCTTTTTAAAAAAGAAGTTAGCAGCGCATCAATCTCCCCGTGCTTATTTGCAAAGCGTGTGTAAGATGAGATAAAGGCAAGACAGTTTGACAAACTGCTAGCATAAGGGGGAAAGGAGCAGTTTTTTCTTATAACAGTTGAGAGGGAAGGGGGAGGGGGAGGAAGGAGGAAGAGCAAGGGAAGGGAGAGGAGAAGGATATACGGAGTGTGGCCTTCTTCAGATGATGTCATAGGTTGTACAGAGTAGAACAGCATCAAAATACATATATTCCTAAACTTTCCTCCCTCCCCTTCCAGGTCTGATTACTGCTACATGCACTGAGTGCCTAATGCAGCACATGTAATAAATGTCCCAGTCATGGAGAGCATTGCGTCAGTTTGGGACAGCAGCCAGAAAATCTCTCTAGCCAGGAGATGAACTCAGACTCTAAAATATTTACATGATAGATGGCCAAGCCCAGGAGGAAGGCCCTGTTATTACAGAATTTATAGTCTTCCCACAGTGAGCTGCCTTTTCTGCTCCACGGTCCCCATGTGGTCGGCTTTGCATACATAGACAGTGATGCTGCTTTGCACAGGAACTAAAGCAACTGGTGCCATTAGTTGTCTGCTTTTAGTCCACACAGCAGGGTGGGGTCCTGGGGCCAGGAAAAAAGCCATGGCATTCTGAAAGACTGATTCACACCTACCCCAATTCAAATCAAATTAGGCTTGGTGCACAGCCACTTCAGTCACAGGCTGCCATTTTCAATGGGAGATCGATATAGTTCCATCTTATGTATGTTTACTTCTTGCAAGTCATTTTCAGAGCTCTAGACTGAAAGCAGCATGTTGAGGCTGAGCACGAATGATTCTGGATTGAGAAGAAAACTATGCTTTTGTGGTACAAGCAGGTGAGTTGCCTGCATAGCGTGGTTCTGGACAGTTCCCCTCCTTTGATTTTCAGGAGTGGCTTTTCAGAGGAAGGGGCAGCATTAGGAGCAGGGACAGGGAACTCATCTGCTCTCTTCATGCTGGCTGGAGAGAGGGAGCAGAAGAATGGAAATGGAGAGATGTGAGGAGTTTGACCAATACTTTGTGAGGACCAAGCATTCCTGGCAGAAGCGGTTGCAAATTCTGTGAAAAGTCATTCAACACTCATGGTGTCTAGAGAAAGATTTTGTTCCACAACCATTGTACAAGGCCCAAATGGACTCACCTCAGTTCCAGACAGGTTCCAACTCTTCCATTTGATAGAGGCCTCATCATTACTGGGTATTAGCAACCACAAAAGGGTTTGAAGCTGTAGAGCAGAGCTGAATGGAAGTTGTCATTTTGATGGGAAGCACCAGAGCACTAAAACATTATTTGAATTAACTGATTTTCCTGCAAAGAACATGAATGTATATTAGGCCTTGCAAATCTTATCTTGCATATCTTAGCCTTTTGAAAGACATAAAGGCTTAGTAAGACTTCAGATTTAAAAAGCAATCCAGGCAAAAGCAAACTTACAGGTATCATATAGAAAAGTGGATCAGAGTAGATGGTGACAAACTGTTTGAACTGTTCAATATTGGCTGGTTAGGTTTGAATGAACAATACCTATATTCCACCAGAGCTATTTGTTCCCTTGCAACTGGTAACATTGGCTGTCACTGTATACATACATGAGCTCTGTAAGATGCAGCATCTTAGCTTATCTCATCATCTGACAGCCTGGTTCATTGGCCAGTGTGCTCTGTGAAGTTGTTGCCAATCTCTTATCAGCTTCAGGAAAGAAAACACTAACATCACTCATGATCATCTTGTCAAATACACGTTGAATGGCTTAAGAACAAAAGTGATGGATGATTCTGTTTTGAGTTTTAACATGCTTAGCTGTTAGTGGTGTCTGCCTCAGAAATGAAGAATGAACTATAATTGAGGGCTGAACATGAAGGGGGAAATCTTTGATAAATGATAGTATAATTATAGGGATGTTCATTGGCTGCATGTTTTGCCTGATGAATTATCTAGGTAAATCTGTTTGCCTTGAAAAAGAAGAGTTTGTGGGTATTGAACTTGGAATTTGGGATAATCTCTGCTCATTCCCAAATGAAATGCAAGTTTTCCATGGTTGTTTTTAAAGTTGCCAACAATTTTACTGCCCCCCTGCTCCCATTGTGCCATGCAACTTTTGCCTGCTGATTTCTGCAGAACAAGCTACAGTTATACAGCAACTAGAACAGACCAGGCTAGATTTTTTGCTGGTCAGTTAGAAACCCTAGCGGGTTCCTATTGTTAACAACAAGCAAACTAAAAAACCATGTTTTCTGTTGAGAGTTAGTGCTTAAGAACATAGCTTAAGAAGAGCCTCCTTGATCAGGCCAGTGGGCCATCTCACAGTGACCTGTTCTCACAGCAGTTGCCCAGATGCCATTGGGGTTTGAAGTCATTGATAGCCTTCTCCTCCATGAATTAGTCCAATTCTCTTTCAAAGCCATCAGAGTTCATGGCCATTGCTGCCTCCTGTGGAACCAAGTTCCATAATATACCGGTAAGTCTGTGCAGCATGAAGAAGTACCTTACCTTATCTGTCCTGAATCATTCAGCTTCATTGCATTCTGTGAAATATGGAGAGTAAAATCCAGAGTAGAGAGGACTGAGCGGTCACATTGCTGCCAGATAAATTCTCTAGGATTTCTAGAAAGGCAAGGATATTCAGGATACAATCCATCAGGGCTTTTTTCAGCTGGAACTCGCCAGAACTCAGCTCTGGTACCTCTTAGGTGAGCGCCGTTGCCATAATAAGAGAATGAGGGAGGTGTTCATGGTGAGTTCTGGCACCTCTTTTTCTATAAAAATAGCACTGCAATCCATCCATCATGTTACCTGATCCCACTGAGTTATGCGGGACTCAGTCTTGAGTGAGCTTCTACAGGAGTCAGGACTGCAGCTTTAAGTCTCACTGATTTCAGTGAGGAAAAGTTAAATGCATGCTTTTTTTTTCCATTGAAAACAATGGTGTTTAGAAGCACTTAATTTAGGATGGATTGTGTCCTCACATCACAACTTATATTTTCTACATCCCTTTCTTGCTCACTGAAGTCTTTCTCTCCTTTCTCTCCTGGCTATCTCTATTACAGATACCAATAGCAGCCACTACAGTGCTACCTCAGTTTACAGACGCTTCAGGTTACAGACTCTGCTAACCCAGAAATAGTACCTCGGGTTGAGAACAGAAATTGCGCGGCGGCAGCGGGAGGCCCCATTAGCTAAAGTGGTACCTCGGGTTAAGAACAATTTCAGGTTAAGAACGGACCTCCAGAACGAATTAAGTTCTTAACCTGAGGTACCACTGTATTACTTTGTGCTTATCTGTTTCATTCTGGGTTTATTTAAAGCCATTCAGGTGCATTTTTTAATGTTCTGTGTCTGTTCATGACACAGTCCTGGGATCCTTGGATAAATTGAGCTTAATTTAGATACTGGGTTCTTGGGAGTTGCTACAGTTAAAATACCTCCCTACACCAGCCTCAGTTTTGACAGGCTTTTAAAAAAATGTATAAAAGTTTCCAAGTCTCCTGCTTGGCATCAACAGAAACCATTAATTTTGTCTGGATCAGAAGATGTATTCCTTTTGAGCCAGCCTCGTCTATTTATCTCTCCTCCTCACTGAAGGATCTCAAACTGTGATCCACGGACCATCTGTGGTCTGCAAGCTAAAATCAGGTGATCTGCAACATGCCTCTGAATTCGTGGCTGAAGATGGGAGAGGGCACATCCATTGCATTAAATATTTATATTGATTTTTAATTGTATTTTTATTGCTTCTTTTATTTCTCATATGGGATGGAATTCAATGTTGTGCTATTACGAAGACTCAATCTGTGCAATCATATCAGCTTGTAACACCCAATGATCCCTTCCTACCCTGTGTGCTGCTCTGGGAGCTTTAGGGACATGGGTGGCACTGTTGTCTAAACCACTGAGCCTCTTGGGCTTGCCGATTAGAAGGTCGGTAGTTCAAATCTGAGTGATGGGGTGAACTCCCATTGCTCTGTCCCAGCTTCTGCCAACCATCAGCTCAAAAGCACACCAGTGCAAGTAGATACCGTATTTTTTGCTCTATAAGACTCACCTTTTCCCTCCTAAAAATTAAGGGGAAATGTGTGTGCGTCTTATGGAGTGAATGCAGGCTGCACAGCTATCACAGAAGCCAGAACAGAAAGAGGGTTCTCTGCTTTCTCTGCGCAGCGATCCCTCTTGCTGCTCTGGCTTCTGGGATTCAGAATATTTTTCTTCTTCTTTTCCTCCTCCAAAAACTGGGTGCGTCTTGTGGTCTGGTGCGTCTTATAGAGCGAAAAATACGGTAAGTAGGTACCACTGTGGTAGGAAGGTAAACGGCATTTCTGTGCACTCTGGCACTCGTCACAGTCCTCTGTGCATCAGTAGCGGTTTAGTCATGCTAGTCACATGACCTGGAAAACTGTCTGTGAATAAACACTGGTGAAGCGATATGTGGGAGGATGATTTAGACTGAATCCTGGCATATTTTAATCTGGCTCAGTTTAACTTCTTGTGTATAGGATTGCCTTGTAAATCTGTTCAGGGGTCCATTTATTGTCATATATACCATTTGCACTGCAGTGCTCTTTGAGCAATTTACATGTCACTTTAATTTATCTTTTTAAGTCAATTGTCCCATTACCCACATAATTTCTGTCTCATATTTATCATTTGCTAATACAAAAGAAAAAAGAAAATTACCTCCAAATATTTTGATCAGGGTTCTTTTCCTTCTTCAAGGGATCTGACAGCTCCTTTAAAAATAATAATCTTTTTTTAAAAAACAAACGCTTATTAACTCTGAGAGCAGAAATACAGAAGTATGGCAAGAGAATCTATTGGAAGGACTGGAAAAATATAGATCGTTTAAAGATGCTAGTGTTTAAACATGCATAAGAACAACACCAGTTTGGTGAGATTGAAAACAATGACAATAACAAAAAACAACAACACAGAGACACTAATCAGGAATGTTACAAACCATCAAATAAAAAATTCCTGTGAAATTCCTGTGAGAGGCACTAACAGTGAGATTAAGTGGATTAGTCTACTGTACAGGAATCTATGGAATGTTGCTTGCATGTGCTTTTGTTGTGGATTATGCAGAAGCAATGTTATGGTTTTACATCTCCCTGGAACATATGCATGAGAGGGTGGTTTTGTGTTTGTGTTTTGAGGGTGGTTTTGTGTGTGTGTTTTTCCAAGTAGCAGCAGGTAAAAGGTTAAAAGGTAGAGGACCCCAGGATGGTTAAGTCCAGTCAAAGGCGACTATTGGGTTGTGGCGCTCATCTCGCTTTCAGGCCGAGGGAGCCGGCATTTGTCCACAGACAGTTTTCCGGGTCATGTGGGCAGCATGACTAAGCCGCTTCTGGTGCAGCGGAACACCAGAATGGAAGCCAGAGCACATGGAAACGCTGTTTACCTTCCCACTGCAGTGGTACCTATTTATCTACTTGCACTGGTGTGCTTTTGAACTGCTAGGTTGGCAGAGGCTGGCACAGAGCAATGAGAGCTCACCCCGTTGCTCTCGTTTAGACCACAGCGTCACCTGCTCCCACAGTAAGTAGCCGCAATTCCCCAGCAAGTCATCCCACTATTCCAAGGCTACTGATTTCAGCAGATACAGAGCTGTGTTGTAGTTGAAAGGAAAACACCCTCCCCCTCTGCATTCTAACACACTGGACCATCAAAGGCTATTGAGAACTCTGGCTTTACTATGGTGTATATGTGCCTGACTCAATTTTTTAAAGCTATTAATTAATGATACGAGTTGAGGAAGATGCTCCCTCGCCACCACAAACACTCCTCTACACATTTTACATGAAGCTTGGTTAACTTAAAAAAAAGGTGAACATTTATTTGTAGTTTAATCAACATTATATTGTTTATTATTATTACATCCTTTCGCCCCAAGGAACTCAAGGTCCTCTCCATGTTACCCACACAACAACCCTGTAAAGTAGGTTAGAAGCATCCCCTGGCTATAACAACCAAAACTGGACTAGAAAGACCAATGACACAACTGCATAAATAAAGCATGTTCATATGCCACTCAGTACACATGTCTCATTTGGAGGTAGACAAATTTCATTTCTCCAAGTTTCTCATTTCCCCCGAACTGAAATTCTGTGCTCCACATTTCATCCACATTTTTGCATCATTCCCCCCCCCCCAGTAAACCTATTTTTGTATGTAGTTTTGACATTTTTGAAGGATTTCAGTGTACGGTAAGTTATTTTCTGTATGAAAGCTTCACCTTGGTATATGCATTGTGGGGCACATTACTTGGCTAGAGGATTGAAGTGCATAATTCATAGAAGCTGGAATTTCAAAGGATGCCTGGGCATCGATTCCTGCATTGTTTTTTGAAAAGTATGGTTTTTGTAGGTTTGCCTTTAAATGTGAACTGAATCAAATTTCTCTCCCTCCCTTAATCTCATTCTATATTTAGAAGATGACCTCATTGTTTCTCCTGTTGCTTCTACTTAGTTCAAAAGGGTACAAGTGATTAGGAAGCATAGGGGTTTTTCCATTCCTATGAGTGATTCCCATCCCCATTCCAAACTCTTGTATTTTTAGAATCTACTCTTGGCTGCAGGCAATAAATGAATTTTGCTCCGCTGCAAGTTACAGTCCAATACAAACTGAGCGGGGAGTAAGTCCCACTGAATCCAATTGGGCTTATTTCTGAGGTGACAGGTATAAGATTGTATAGTTAGGTACTTGCATCTGCTTAGTGTTGTTTTTAGAATTATTGAGAGTAGGCTATTATCATGATTTAATAACACAAAAATTGGAGTGATTTCTCCCCTCCATCTGGGAACTCAATTGAGAAAAATGGGGAGAAAACAAATTGTGTTTTATATTTAAACGGCGCACTGAAGGTGTCTATATTAATATTTTTGAGAAAGGAAAATCGGGCTGAGTAAAAAAATATATACAGTAGTGCCTCAAAGAACTACTGATTTCAGGCCAGAATTAACAGTTTGTATTAGGAGTAGTAATAAATTAATACAGCCCTAGGAAAATTTAATGCCGCTGCCACAGTATCGCTCATTTGGTTCTAAATGGAACTCCAGATAACCTACTTTGAGTAGTAATGTGTTCTCAGCATGTGGGAATTAGCTGCTCAGTATAATAAGTACTATTGACTGTCCCGTTGCTGTACAGAGAAAGAGCAACAAAAAGAAAGGAAGAAGGAAGGGAAGGGAACAACAACACCCCAGCAGTAACAGTAACAAAATGTGTGTATGGTTTTTTTTAAAAGTAAACAAACCTGCTTTTCATGACATCCTTTAAATGTTATAGGTTAAAATAATCTTAAAGGGCTTAAAAATAGCAATTAAATCTTTCCATGCCTGCTTTCCAAGACTACAGCTGAGAAAAACGAAAGCAGGCCTAAGTGCCACACTGCGCTAGTCTCGCTAATAACTCTCTGTGAAAAATCTCATTAATTCAGTCTGGCTCCTCAGATCAGCCGCTAAGGCCTTGTATTGTCAGTCATCCTCTGGCCTTTTCAGAATTTCCATAGCCTAACTAGCAGCGTCTCCATGGAAACCAAGCAGCTATGCTTTGCACATCCTTGGAACTTTTTTGTTCTTGACAAAGCTTGAAAAATCATATGCAGCAAGGAGAGTTTAACATAGTGAACTAGATCCTGACCTGCACTTATAAAATGATAAACCCCAGCATTCCAGCTTTATTAGAAATGATTTCCTTACAAGATACTT